CACCATGCCCAGTTTACTACACCGTTTTATCCAGGGACTTTCACAAAACCGAGACTAGATTTTGGTCTAGGAACGTGTTCTGAATCCAGTTCTCCACAGGCACCAAGAGATGACTGAGTAGAGTTCTAGTTGTACAAAATACAGTTCTAGACACCTTTTGTACAACAGGGAATAAATATAATACTATGGAACTGCAACATCCTTAAAACAATGAAAAATTTTATGATTTTTCAAAAACATTTTTTAAAAAGCAGCACAAAATGCCATCTGAAAAGTCTGTAAAATGCAGATTCATGGATCCTATTAGTTGAGTCAGGCACTTTTTGAGCGTTGCCTAGGGATTTGTATATAAAAAGCCTCCAAGTGACTGGATTACATACTACTTTCTAAAGTAAAAAGTCTGGCATCGAAGCTCAACACACTGTTGGAAGCCACACAGAAACCTCCTAATTCCGACTTAGCTCCCAGTCCACTGAAGTCTGTTATCAGACACTTTTATTACATTACACACAGGATGCCACTAACCCTTACCCTAAGTGGTAGTTTTTGGGTCAAAAAGACTTTTCTTAAACAAAAAATCTGGAACTGCTAGGCATGGTGGGGCATATCTGTTACCCCAAGATTCAGTGAGGCAGGCAGCCTGGGCTACGGAGTAAATTTCAAACCAGCCCTGAGCATGTGAAACTGTAAGACCCTGTCTCGAAAACAAAAAGCCTAGGACTCACTAAGTTCGATTTTGAAGATGCCTTTCCAGGACAGTTAATTCAGATATCCAGAGAACTAGAACTCTCTCTTTTATTCAAGGAAACTAACCCAGAACACAACACTGCTAATTATAATCAGTATTGTCTCAACTTTTATCCCCAATTTAAGTCTTGCTAGTACAGTAACTACTACTTTGAATGTGATTTGGAAGAAAGAGCTGAAACCTCTTAGAAACTGCTGGACTAGTGCAACGAAGAGTTCAATTCTTCCACAGGAAGCTCTTCCACGCCAAAGCCTTTACACTAAAAGGGTTTTTGGCATTGTTGTGATTCCTTCAACATAAATGACTGAAAGGGTAATATTGTGCAATGATGTAGCCAAATTAAGAGTTCGGAGTATTTATCGCACCTTACTATCTTTGTAACTACCCCATCATCTACTGAAAATTCTTTCAACTTCTAAAACTTGTAAAACAGAGAAGAAACAATATTTCACCAATTCTAAAATGTTACTTTCAACAGCAGAGATTCTAGTTTCGATACTCTCATAAGTTGAAAAATAAAACTAACATTCCCAAAACGTTTATCCTTTTCTCTACTAAATTTATCTCATAACTAAGACTAGCAAGTTCTATTAGGAATTCTAAAGCAGAAAAAACCTTAACACCCTGAAAAATCACATTAAACTATCTTTTCTCACCAAATTTTTCTTTCTAGTTTACTTCTTTTTCAAAGTTGTCATTTCTTATTTTTATAAAAGCTTGTCTGATACTTTTGGATAAAGACTCAAAACTCTATCTATCTGCCTACCTCAACCTCTATAGTGCTGGCAGTACAGGTGTGCATGGGCTGTCCTGTATTTCAACTTAAAATACTGTGTGAAATGACTGTTAGAAATCCACTGAGATCTTCCGTTATTGCTATTTTTCTCCAGTGTAATGTTAAATAATATATTTTAATCCAAGATATATATATAGCTAAGATTTTCCTTTGCTAAAAGGGTCTCGGCATAAATTCCTGCTTGGCAAGCACAAGGTCCTGAGTTTGATTCCTGCTACCAAAAACAACTAAGTATGTCTAGATAATGTACCTCTCACTTGAGAAAGTAGTTAAAAAACCAAAAACTTACTATTACCTAATTCAGAATGCATCCAGGCTCAACTAAGCTAAACAGCCCACCAGAGGACAGTTTCTGAAAATTCAATTAAGAGATTCCCAACTTTACAAGCATTAATCTTGGAAAAGGCCAATTTTGGTTAAAGCGCTTCCTATTCCTTCTTACCAAACATGAAAGTAATTACAGATGGATTGCAGATTAAATATGCAAGATCTTTGAGGACGGGATGGAGGACATCTTTGACACCTCCAGGTGAGTAAAAATGTCTTAAATAGGGTAGAAAAGAGCTTGGTTTTTTTTTGTTTGTTTGTTTTGAGATGATCTCACTACATGCTTCAGGTTGGCCTTGAACTCTCAGTGATCCTTCTGCTGGGATTACAGACCTGTCCCATCACGCCTGACTGTTAGTCATCAAGAGAAAAACAAATTGGACTTCCTAGAAATGCTCATGATACCATAAATACGAGAAAGGAATTTGTATGAAGTATTTCCAATACACATCTGACCAACTAAAAGTGGTAGACAGGTGACAGAGGGCTTGCCTAGCACTGAGTAAGGCCCTGGGTTAAAAAGGTGATTCGAGGGCCTGGGATACCATTCAGTGGCCCAGCGCCTTGTCTGGCAAGTGCAAGGGCCTGCGTTCCATTCCGGGAGCGTGTGCAGACACACACAAGTGAGATAGGAAAAAAAGTGCAGTCAATCCCATGCACCAGAAATGAACCCCCAAAGATCCCCCAACTGCATTGTAACCCATCTCTCCTTTTACCCCAGTTAGGTAAACAACCAGGTTGGTATCAGATTAGTTTGCTGAAATAAAAGTTTGACACCTGTACTTTTTGTCTGCCTTCTTTCATCCAGCATAATTTCTGCTTAATTACTCATATTCTTGTATATGTCAATGATTCCTTTTTTATTGCTGGAGAGTATTCTATTGTGTGGATATATAACAATCTTCATCCACAGGTCAGTTAATAGAGATTTGTTTCCAGCTGGGAGGTAACTACAAAGTTGCTATAAATATTCAAGTGGGATTCTTTGGAGAATTTTTTACATATTTTCTTTGGTAAATACAAATGAATGGCCTGGATCGGAATAGATGTGTTAACTTTTTCAGAAATTTCCAGGGCTGGGGCTTGAGCTCAGTAGTGTTTACTGTAAGCACAAGGTCTGGGATCAATATGGCTTTATCCTACAACGTTCTGTCAGCAGAGCCTGATAGCCCCATCCAATTTTTTTTGTTCTTTCCATGCAGAATTTAGGCTGGCCACAACTTGCTGCTCCTCCCCTGCCTCAGCTTCTTTTAGCGCTGGTATTACAAGGGCATGCACCACACCAGCTGCCTACTCAAATTTTGATGTTATGCTAACCACAGTTTGTTCCCCCTATTTCTCAGAATATTGCAATACTAATGATTTCCTCCTTGAATTCGAGCACATTCCTGGTGAAATAATCTGGGTCTTGAGTTTTTGTGAGTTGATTGATGACTGTAATTGTTACAGGACTATCATAGGTTTTCTACTTTTTCCTGCATCAGTTTTGGAAAGGTTATTTTTCTAGTTTCTTTTTTATGTCTTTGGCAAGCTGAGGTCTTTAGTCTTAATTTTTTCTCTACCGTTATGCTTAACATGCTTCATAAACAGATTTACTCGTTACCCAGCCTGTTAATCTCTTACCAATGACCTTTACACCTACTTACATTTTTAAAAGACAATGGGGCAGGTTGTGAAGCAAAGACCAAAAAAGGATTTTATGGTTTTCAAATTTTGGCAACTTAAAAACAGAGGCTAGTCGGTTAAGGTTAAAAAGATTTAAGGTTCTCCGTGGTTATTATGAAAGAAGCAATGCTTCCTATAATGTATGTAAAAGGTTTAGAATTGAGCCTGGCTCTATATTAAACGTCGTTAAGTGCCGCAAGAAATTCAAAACATGAGGCCTGTTACATTTTTGCTACCACGATGGTTTTTCCTTACAATGCCGGCATTCAAGAAATTAATAGGGACTGCGTTTCCCAATGTGCTTTAAAGTCGCGGCAGCACGTGGCCGCCTGGATTCTCTCCTCCAGTTGCTTTTGTCAAGGGTCGGCCGCAGGCACAGCTAACATTCCTAAAACGGCCATTGGCTCACACCCTGGGGCAAGGATTCTCGGTGGAGCCTTGGAGCTCATTGGTCACTGTCTCTCAATGAACAGGGCCACGCCGCGCCCTCGGCCACCCTAGCCGCGCTCACCGCGGGGGAGCCCAGAGAAAACCGTTGGAGGGGCCAAGGGAGGAGAAGGGGTCATTATTGGTGGGGCTGCCGCCGGAAACAAGGCCCAGGCACCCTCAGTATCGCCAGTGCTTTTCTAGGCCTTTAGATTCCCACCGCAAGACCACTAAAACGGTTCCTTCGCGTGATCCAGGAAGCTCACTGGCGCGTGACTGCCAGTCGGGGACAAGGGGCCGAGGCCCGCGGTCTTTGGTCCAGCTCAAGGTATTAAGGCTATCGTGTCCGGGGCCCCCGTCCTGCGAACGCAGGCAGATCTCCCTGCACCCCGCACCTCTCGAGTCGCTGATTCCTCCTCGGATCCTCGGACTCCGTAACAGGTTACACAACCCAAGGTCAAAAGATTCGAGAGAGCACAGCTCGGCGGGTCCGCCCACCGCCCCGAAAACGCCCAGGGTCGAGCGCGGCCGCCTGAATGCGGGGCCCAGGCACCTCGAGGCGGCCGCTCCCGCCCAATTCGCGCCGCCCCGGCACCACGCGCTGCCCGCCTCTTCGGCGGCGGGAGGCCTGCTCGCCAGCCCCCCCCCGGGCCCGCAAGACCCCGCTCCGCGCCCGCGGTCCCGCTCGCTCCCCCTTCCCGCCCAGAGCACGCCCGAATTAGCGCCTGACTAAGCCCGCCGAGCCACACCTGCCGGCGGGAAGCGCGCGGCCCCCACCCGGGGCCTGGCTGCCGAGTAGGAGGCGCCGCCCGCCGGGGACGCTACCTGAGGAGCACGCGGCCGGCCTCCTCCCCTCCCCCAGGGCACAACCGCCCGGCCACGGCGGCGGGAGACGCGGGCTCCCGCCTGGGCGGACACGGCCGTTCCCCAAGACCACATCCTCCACGGCCGCCCACCTCCGAAGGCCGGGCCGGCCCCTGCCGAGTCAAGTGCCCTCAGGCCCAGCTCTGCCGCCCGGAGCCCCGGGCACCCACCCACCTCGGGATACTGCGAAGATCCCCAGATCCCTGGTTGGCGTCGGGTTGCTGATGGGAGAACCAAACCTCCAGCAGCTTCTCGGTCCCTTCGAAAAAATGTGCAGCTTCCATCACCGTGAGACGAGCGAACAACCAACAACCACAGAAAATCAACTAAATTAAATCTCTTCTCCCGCCGCTGCCGCCGCCGCTGCGGATTGTTCCAGCTGTGTTGCTATAAAGTTCAGGTTCCTTTTTTTTTTTGCTATAATTTTATATTAACTTTTTTAAAAAAAGGATTAATAAAATTCTCCCGGCTTTTTTGTGTGAGCAAAAGTTGAACGTGAGTCTGTTGGAAATAGAGGCAGATACAGTTCAGTCTCTTGTAGTCCGCTGCTTCCCCGTTAAAGAGAGTAGAGCGAGCGCTAGCTAATGTCGCCGGCCATACTGTGTAAGCGAGGGAGCTGCGTGAGTGCTGGGCCTTATATACCGTGTCTTTCCGAAAGGCCAGGAAGTGACACAGTCTTCCCGCCCCCCCGGATCATAGGGCCATTCCCCTGTCAATCAAGCCTCGCCGGATGGCTACTGGCTGGCGGTGAGCCTACGGGGAGTGCCGGGAACTGCCGCTGCGGTGCGGAGGGAGCTATCGCTGTCCCCTGAGAGGGAGACGGCGCTGTGGTGTCCGGCTGGGGACTCGGAGCCTTGGGTTGAATCGGAGTGGGTGGGGAGAGCGGGAACGGAGTCAGGGGAGGCTGTATAGCGCCGCGGAGAGCGGCTGGCAGCGAACAGGGATGCGTCCTGAGGGGCGTCGGCCGGCTCTGGGCGCGGGCAGTGGCCCGTGCAGGGTTGGCGAGGCAGCCGTGAGCCTCGTGCCGTTCTCCGCGCCTGCTGAGGCACTTGGCCTTTCTTGGAAGAGTTTCCCCGCGGCGAACGCAGCCGGGCATTAAAGCTCACCATTTGTCCGTGACGTGCACGTTGCCGGGGGTCAAATTAGATAGCGCTTGAATTCCGCTCACGCGTTTTTTGATGTGCCAACGAACGCACTTCTCGGCCCGCTTACACAATAGCCAGAAGCGTTGACTCCTTGTTTCAAAAGGGAAAGCAACGTGGCGCCGGGCCTGGGAGGGCTCGGCTCTACCTACCTCCCACCATGCGGCTCACCGAGCCTCGGAATTGGCTGAGCTCAGCAGCCGTCCCAAAGCCCTGGCAACCCCGCGCTCCATTAGGTCAACGAGTGGGAATCTGCTGGGAAACCAAGTCTGGAAACTAGACTTGTTCATACTGTAATCTGAGGTTAATTGAAATTTCCTTAAACCAACGAGCTCATTGAAAGAGGTTCCTCCCAAATTTACAGATGCCAGCCCCTCTCTTAGGAAGGATTTACATGGGAATTCATGAAACGGATCCCTGAGCTATCATTAGTAGTGATTTCAAGAACCATCAGTCTTAACATTTCGGTAATTAACGAATAAAACTGTTGCAGTCAAAATTTAATCTGCGGTGACAAAATTGCGGTAACAAAGTTACGATTTACTCCGAAATACTGAAAGAAAAAACCCCGATATAAAAAAAAAAGACCATTGTCACAAGACAAAATGCTTTTCCCTGTTATCCTTAGAAAAACAAACAAAAAAGCACCTTTCCTTTATGAGAAATAGGCAATGTTAGTCTGACAAATGCACTGAAAAAGACATTGTTGGAGTCTGCATTGTCAATAAAACCTGTGGGATAGTATTTGTCTTTCAAAAAACATGGACTCCACATGCCTTCATGAAACCTGTTGAAAGAAGCTATGTTGTGAGTTGGTACATATAATTCATTTGTGGTGTTTTTAAAAATGTCCAACTCAAATGGGATTGGGACAAAAGATAATAAATGTTGCTCGTTTTAATAGGAAGTGGTTGTTATACTTGGAATAAAGATAAAAGGAGTATTTCTGTGCTTTACAAGCTATTCGTTTATTTGATGGTTGCTTATTGAAATGAAGAATCTGTCTACTAAACCACCTCAAACACTAATTGTGGTATAAGCATAATTTGACTTATAATTGCTTATAATTAGTTGCATTTCAATTACTATTATGCTTTTTCCCAATGTAATTTAAGTTACTATAAAAGTGCCAAGAATCTTGGCAAGGTAACTCTTTGGTAATTTGATATAGGATAATTTAAATAATGCCTGTAACTGGATTGGTCTTTTATAAAATACATCATTTTTCTTAAGCATTATCTTGAAGCTCAAAATCCCTTGTGCTTATTACTAAATTGGTCAATTAATTTTTGCTTAAACATTTCACTGAGCAGGGTGCAGGCCTGTAATCCCAGCATTCTGGGAGGCCAAGGCAGGATGATTGCAAATTCAAGACTAACCAGGGCAACTAAGTGATTTAGTGAGATTCTGTCTCCAAATAAATAAATAAAGGAGCGGGTATTGCTGAAAACAAGTGGTGGTGATCTGGAGACGGGGCTCGGTGCCAAGGCCCTGGATTTAATGCCCAGTACTGATGAATTAAATAGGGTTTTTTTGTTTTTTGTTTTTTGTTTTTTTTGTCTTTTTCGTTTTTTACCGGTACCGGAGATCGAACTCATGACTGCCTGCTTGCAAGGCAGGCACTTATGCCACTGAGCTAAATCCCCAGCCCCTTTTGTTTTGTTTTTTGGGTGGGATTTTTTTGGTTTTTGTGGGGGTTTTGTTTGTTTATTTGTTTGTTTGTGTCTTTTTGAGACAGGGTTTCACTCTGCTGTTCAGGCTGGCCTTGTATTCACTTTGGGCCCAGGCTGACCTTAGACTCTTGCCTCAGCCTCCAGCACCAAGAAAACAAAGCAGTATTCAGGACATGCAGGATTGAGGGTAAGGGTCCCTCTTGCTAAGTTTGAAGGTGGTACTAGTTATAGAACTTAAAGAACCATTATTATTATTATTATTTTGTGATGTTATAGATTGAACCCAGGACTTCCTGCATGCTAAGCAAATGCTCTACTACTGAGCTACATTTCTCACCCTCACAATTGTTATTTCCTGACTGTAGGTAGCTTCAGTCTTTTGAAAATGTAGCTTGAAACCTGAAACTCTCACCTCTTTCATAGTCTTCCTAAACCACAGCTACACACCAAGTTTTCTTGGAGGTTTTTAATCTTTGGGGGCTGTTGTAGTCAGGATTTACAAGGGAAATAGTTTAATACAGGATACATGATTTATAGTATTATTTATAATATTCACTCAGAGTCAAATACAAAAGAGTATGAGAGATCCTTCCACACACTAGAGACCAAAGAATCTAGCTGAGGGCCTGGATCCCAAGGCAATGTGCTCCCCGAGTCCAGCTGGAAGTCTAGAATCCACAACAATATCTTATACAAGCCTCTTTCAAGCACCTGCACTGGGAAGGCTCAAAGGTGAACACCAGAAAGTCTGTGCTAGTGGGATGAAGGCTCTGTGCCAGCAGGCTGAGGGATCTTCTCTGGAGCCAGGAGCGACAAAGTAAGGACCACAGCTCCCCCAAAAAGAACAGCAGCCATTCTCAGGGACAATGAGTCCTGAGCTCCTCTGATGATGAGAACAGCCAAGTTCATATCAGGAAAGTCAGCATGACAAGCTCCTCCAGGAGAACCAACGGCATTTCTTCCTCTGAAGTTCTCTGTTTATGTTGTCAGCAATAATCCTTGGATGGCCCTTCCACATCCAGCACTATGCTGATTCAGTTCAGCTGAGAGTTACAAAATGACCAAAACCAAAGTTGTCAGTCCATCACAGGAGCCCACTGGTCAGTATTTAAAATTTTTTTCAGGTTGAAATTTTAAAAGTCCCTGCCTCTCAGCACAAATATTTATAAACATTTGGTTATTATGCTTATTTCTGATAAGATTTTAATCAAATATACTGAAGCAAATTTACTGGACTAGATAGCTTGCAAATTACTAGGGGAAACCCCATGTCCCCAGAGTCATTATATCTAATTTCTTAAAGCTGATTTAGATTCTTATCTCCCAGTATTGACAGGCTGCTACTCTGTAAAAACTGAGCAGCCACAAGAAAGACTTCTACCTGTATTTGGAACACACAAAAGACAGAAAGTAAAGACCACCTTGATTTTCCTATAGTAAGAATCGCAAGTCCAGAAGTTGTGTCTGTTTTGTATGCTTCTACTATTAATAGTCAAGTATTAGGTATTTTAAGAAATCTTTCAACATTAATGAGATAACTCAAAGTAAATAAGGGGAAAAAAACAGGACACAATGCAGGTAATAGGGGTAAACATTCTAGTATAAAACAACATAATTATACTCCACAGGGATAAAAGAAACTACCATAAAAATAAAACTAGAATACTATGAAAAAAAGGAACATTCAAAAGATCCAAAGAGAAAGTGTTTGGAAATTAAAGATGAGAGAGCTGTGTTCTTTTTTTAAAAAGTGAGAGAAAAAGAAAAAAAGAGAGCTCAATTTGAAGAGATCTCTGAGAAAATAGGATAAACCAGAGATGAAAATATTGGAAAAATGATACGAAAATGAGTCAATCAGTCAAAAGTGTCGCTATGTCTAACTAATATGAGTTCTACCAAAAAAGACAAAAGGTAATTATCAAGAAGATATAATAAAAAATTCAGAACAGAAAGACATGGATTTCTAGATTGTTTCTTTAAAGAGTGCATTCACATTGATTCTGAAGGGGCACAGGAAGCTGTTTCACAGACTTCATTTCTGGACACACTGGCATTCCGAATCATGAGGTCTCTCCCATAACCTGGACCCCCAGCTGGCTCAGGCAATGTGTTTTCCCAGACCTCTTGTCTTTACTAAAATCCTTGCCATGTCCTCTGGGTCCTCCTAGGGATCACTTTATTCCTTATCATTTTTCTGAAATGCCACATAGAACAGGACCAGGGAGCACAGGACAAACAAACAAACAAACAAGCAAACCAACCTATAAGTCAAAGGAAAAAACTACCCACAGTTAACATTTTGAAACATCCCCTTGGCACAGTGGCGATTGCTAGTTCTGTAATACATGTCCAAGATCATCCTGATCAAATTGTTTATAAGTTTTGTGCCAACACATGTGAAGAATGAGCCTTCAGGCAGAGGGATTTCTAGATTTAAAGGGCTCAGCTAAGAATGAGAAAGAATCCCCCCAAAACCCACACTAAGGCATATACAGTCCCTCTCAGTTCATGAATTTAATTCCTTCCACGATTCTGGAGAAGCTGGCTGC